AGGCTTCAAATTTAGTTTCTATCACTTGTAGAATTCTAGTGGTGAAATCGTCCAGGAAATGTGTGTCTCTTTAAATTCCCTTTGCTGAACTCCAGCCATAACAAGCTGCACTCACAGAAAAAAAAAAAGGGGGTAAAAAGCAAGGTCTCAGAGTACTTTTGTTTACAAAGCTCCTCCAATCAGCATCTCAGCAAAGTAAAAAAAAAGCAACTTTCCCACAAAAATCTTTAACCAGCAATTTCAAGCTCCAATTCAACAAAATTAACTTTTTAAAGTCCCCCCAAAATTCACTTGTTTCATAAAAACACCCAATAATTCAGCCCTTCGACTCTTTGCTTAATATATAGATCCCAAAGTCCAAATCAGTTTTTTTTAAGTAAGTGTTGAAAATATGAAAAACACCAAGAAGAAACACTTATCTGTTGCCGAAAAAAGCCTCTCTTCATCTAAGAGTAACAAGCCATTTAAAATGTGTTTTAGAAATGGGGAGGTTGGTTTTAGTGTTCTAAATTTTGGCTACGCCACAGCCTCAAACAGGACGGAAAAGTCCTGTCTCCTAGCCATTCACCACAAGTTGACCACAAAGTCTTCTGCTTCGGGGTCTCCTTGCAAGAAACGGATTGATTTTATGGATTTTCCTTTATATCCAGAGAATTCTTCAGACTACAGGGATCCTGCCCTACCCCCCACAGCTGTGGCATTGATTCCCAAGCAAAGGAATCAGTCAAGCTGCCATTAGTCCCCCACCAGCACCTGAATTTTGATCATGTGACCACAGGGATGTTGTGACAGTTGTAAGTGTGAGGACCGGTCATAAGTCACTTTTTCCAGCACTTTTGTAACTTCAAGCAATTGCTGAACAAATATTTATAAGTCGAGGACTAACTGTAGTCACCAGGAGTTGAATGCTACTTAAGGGCGTCTTTGCTACTTTTAATGTATTATTTATAAGCTGAGGGAGTTCATTTCTCTCTTATTTTCACAGGCAACAGCAATGTCAGTAGACTGTCTCGGGCAGCATGCAGTGCTTTCTGGGTGAGTGCTTAAACCTTCAGGATGGAATTGCAGTTATTACTGGCAACACCTGGGCTGGTATGTGCTAATAGGTACAGAGGGAAAAAGGAAATCTTGTCTGAGGTGGGTCTTCATGTTTCCCAAAGCTTCATCTTCTCAGTGAGATGGAGGAAAAGGAAACTGAAACACAAGCAGAAGCCTGATGAAGAGTGATCCAAAATAAGACTCCATGACTCCAACAGACCCATCAGTTGTCTCTCTAGGGAATTCCTTAGCAGGAAAAGTCAGGCGGAATCTGGTAGCAGCGTTTCAGACTAACTCATTTAATAAAATAGCTCATGAAAGCTTATGCCGTTTCATAAAATGTGTTAATCTAACTTTGCTACGAAACACAAAAGTTCCTACCGTACTCCTCCTGATTTCTGGCTGCCATAGACTAACCTGCCTCTCTCCCTTCAATCCCTAGCAGGAAGTGATAGTACTAAATATTCCCCATTGTCTGTCATGCCCTGTCTCTGAAGATTTAGCCTTCATGCCAAGTAGGACAAATCTTCCTTGACTTCATGTGACGCCTTCTCTACAAAGCTTCTGAAGTCATCTCCATCATTTTATTTTGTGGGAGTGACTTTCACACATTGGTTGTACTTTGGATGAACAAATACTTGCCCTTCTTTACATGGAACTTACACCATCTTCCCATAGAAGGTTCCTCAGTTCCTTTCCTTTTGAATGAGAGTATGAGAGTAGAGTTGCCCAATAGTATACAGGCAACCCCTCTTTTTTGTACCTGTTGAGAGCACCCCCCCCAGTTTTTGCCCCTGCATTTTGCAGCAAAGCCACTTTTTAACTTTTTGCCTCCACAGAAGCTTAATAACCTATTTTTCACTTAAGACCACTACAAACCTGAAACCCCTCCATAATAAGGTAGGTTGAGAATTTTTCATCACACTCTAGTTATGTCAGTATCTTATTAGGCACACCCACTATAGCCCTTGGCCTCCTGTCAAATTATTATTAAAAATCAAAGTGTGGTTCCCTACTGGAAAAATGTTGCTTCCCCCCTGGGCAGTTTGGAGTGAGGACTGTCTTTAGACCTACTTTTTAGAGCCAACATTGGTACTTTGTGATGGGGTAAGATATTGGCCTATGTGTTCCCCCTGCTTTTTTTCCACATGGCTATCTGAAACTTCTCTTTTTTGTGATAAAGGCTGTCTGCTCAGCTGGTACAGTAACTGTCTACTTCTGCTTGGTCCTTTTCATTCTAGGTCTGTTTTTTTTTTTTAATAGCACTATTAGTGCCCTGTAGGAGATAGTTTGTTATCAGCATGTAAGAGAGAACTGGGATGTTATCAGCACACCTCACAGACATACTTTAAATATCCCGGTTGTACTTGGACCTTTTATCCAGAGTCCTTGCTCTGTGCTGTGTAGATGCTGTGATTCCACAGCTATGCAGAAAACTTGAAGAATGTGGCACTAGATGCAGTTATAGCTTTCTGAGAATACTCTTTTTAAATGAGTATGTTTCTAATCGTCATAGTTGTGAAGATATACTTGCAACTCTGATGAGTCCCTATTGACAGTGCCAAACCAGAGAGAAGGGTGATTTTAAAAAGTTACCAGAAACTCTTTCCTTCTATGCCCAGCAAAATCAGAGCAACAGATGCAAAATGTGCTTTAATTATATGAGTTATAGAATAGATTGTTAGCAGAGAATTCAAATGAACTTCGTGCAGGAACATGCATCAGATTTCCCCATGGCTGATTTTAAACCAGTTCCTGAACATTAATTACTCTTCTGCAGAAATTTTATACGTATAATTCCAACACTTCAACTCTCATGTTATTTTTAATGCGGTAAACACTTAATTCAAATATGCCTCCTTAGTAAATATCTCATGTTAAATTCAAATGAAATAATTATTGAGCAACTTAGTCATGATAAAAAAATAACCTAATAATCTGCCTTCAGAGACTCAAATCTGGAAGCATCTAAATTGTGGCTTGGATTTGCCAGTTGCAGTAGAGGTGGTAAATCTTTCTCTGATCTTTCTAAGGTCATCTGTTTGAATGCTCCTCCCTACATACATTCTTGCCCATAGACGAATAATGTGCCTTGCACAAGAAAGATTGGCTGTCTATTTCTGCCTCATCTGCTGATTTTCTACGAATGAAAGTTTTTTTTTGAACGGAAGAAGAAGCTATTAGTCCTGGGAGTGTCACTTGTGATCTGAAGCAGTTATTTCAGAAACCCCTTTACATAGTCATCTGCTCCTTGCAGAAGCTACGTAAGAAGCTAGATAAGTTCTGGCTTATGGTTTCCATGCAAGGTCATTCTGTAATAATAGTCCAGCATTTGGGGATGTGGTACAGAAGCGTGTGCCTGATCCCTGTGGCAATCTCTTACTGGAGCAGAACTTACAGATGGACCTAAGTATCCTTAAGCTTTGGCCGTACTCTAAATTTGCTTCCACCAGTAGCTTGATCTGTTTCATTGTTGGCATGTTTGGCTTGGCCTGATACACTTTATGCCGGCATTGGCGCAGCTTGATGGTTCCCGGCCTTGCTGCGTTTAATGGTCCCAAGAGCAAGCTCTTGCATTAGACCATTATCTCTCAACCTCTCTTCACCCATGGCCCCCTTCTGACCTTGTTTTTCTGCTGTGCCCGCCCCACCCCCCAAGTCCCATTACCAGTGAGAAAGATTGCTACTTATACACTGGGCTTGTAAATAAAGTACATGTTTTTATTTATAATTTTAGTAATGCAGTTTACCATGCACAATTACATACAAAATTTTACTCTTAATGTAATTTATTAGTTAATTAATGTGACCCTTGGGACGATAACTGGTGCGTTTTCTGGTGCCAACAAGACAGTATTTGCAGTATGGCCCCCTTGAAATATCCAAAGGAACATGTGGCCCCTGGTTGAGAACCTGCTGCTTTAGATCGCCATGGTTGTTGCTTCCGTGGTGAAGCAGACAGTGCCTTGCATGCCAATGTAGTCTTGATTAGTCTAAGGCAGTGTTGTCCAAACTTGGCCACTTCAAGATGAGTGGACTTCAACATGGCTGGTTCGGGAATTCTGGGAGTTGAAGTCCACTCATCTTAAAGTGGCCAAGTTTGGACAACACTGGTCTAAGGCTTTCTGATTCCAGTGGGTTTATTTTCAGTATGAGTAGATCAGGATCCAGCTCAATGACTACTCTGATCCCCACTCCTGATGCACATACTGTATGTTCCATGCTTTACAAATAATGTATTTCCAGAAAAACAAGAGTCGTGTGGCACCTCAAAGACAAATACATGTGTTAACCTGTAAGCTATTAATGTGTCACAATTCATCAGATGCCTCAGTCTAACGTGGCTACTCCCCATTGTTGTTTTAATCAGTCTTAATAAAAATGTAATAAAGTTAACCTACAGTTTGATATTCCTAAGAGGGTTACACAGCAGCCTACTTCAGATCTTTCCTTAGAAGGAATCTCTGCCACTATGTTCAAAAGAATTTCAGAAGGGTGCCACCCACGAAATGTAAGCTGTTGGGGTTTTGGTGTTCTCTGAGCTTGCTTGTTTCCCTGCAGCGTTTCATTGCCAAGCTAGGTAATCTCACCTCTATGAGGGAGAGTGCTTGTTGTTTATATATAACAGCAGCTTGCCCTGCAGTCTTGGTCGAGGTGTGGTTTCCTCCTTCGTGATTCTTTGATTAGGGCCAAGAGCCATCAAAAAAAAAACTATACCCAAACCGAGTCTGCGCCAAGACAAGCTGCTACATATAAACAGCCAGCAAACCCTACTCCCCTGTGCACTGATGATGTTATCTAGCCTGGTAATGAAAGGTCTGTAGGAAAACAGTCAAGCTCAGAGAACACTAAGAACCTTAAGCCACATATGTTCTCCACTGCTGAAAATATCTCCTGCTTTGAGACTGTAGCTCCATTCTGTCCTGAATATGTGGAACATCTCAAAAGGTGGGGGAATTTCTATTCATAGCCATTTGTTTCATGTTAAAGTAGCCTGTTTCCCTTTTTCTCTTGCTCACCCTCTCTAGTCTTCAGAATTAACCTGTGCTCCTTTTCAGCAGATGATTGTTGGGACTTCAGGAAATATAAAGGGCTGTACCTGAGGATAAGAGTTGCCATCCCAGTCATGATGATAAATTACTTTGGATCCAGTGTAGTGACATTTCTTCCCATACTTGTGGGCTTTTTTCCAGGCGCCGCTTCCTCTACATTGTTAGCCTGGATGCACCTGCTGATGGCCACCGCAAGATTTCCCGCCAGAGTAAGTGGGACGTTGGGGCTGTGCAGTGGAATCCCCATGAGAGCCATGCACACTACTTTGCTGCATCGGTAAGTTCTGCGCGTGGCGTTTCCTTCCCAAATGGATCCCAGCAGTGCAACCTCTGTGCCTAGCTAAGTTGTGGGAATGGGATGGCGCTTTCAAGTGGGAATGCACGACTCCGGCCTCCTCCCCCATAGGGCCTGAGGAGATGACTAGGAACAATGTAAAACATCTTACGGAATACACTTTGTCCTGCAGAAGCCATCAGGTGAACATCTCATTCACGTTGTGGATATAATTAGAAGGAGCCAGGTAGCACCTTTCCTGACTAATAAATTTTATTAAAAGGGATAAACTTTTGGTCAGAAAAAGTGCTACCAGACAGACATCAGATTTTTTTTCTGTCATAAATTAACTTGTCCTCTCCTACAATGTCTACGCTTCTTAGATACGTGAGACTAAGATGCTTAATCCCTGGAAAGGTTCTTATCTTAGTATTAATAGATAAAATTATTAATTTTAATTTAATTAAAACTATTGGTTTAATCATTTAATTTAATAATTATTAATAAATAATAATTTGATTTAATTAAAATGAAAATTTTAATGTGATTAAAATGAAAGTTATCTTAATATCATCTTAATAGAGCCAGTTTGGTGTTGTGGTGAAGGTGCTGACCTAGAAAGCAGGAGACTATGCATTCTAGGTCTCTCTCAAGCATGAAAGCCAGCTACTTCAGCCAATCCCTCTCTCTCAGCCCAACCCACCTCACAAGGTGGTTGTTGTGGGGAAAATAGAAGGCAGGAGTGTTAGCTATGTTCGCTGTCTTGAGTGATATATATGTTCGCTGTCTTGAGTGATATATAAAAAAAGGGATAAAAATATAGTAATAGTAATAAAGTAGTCCTCACTTACCGACCACTCATTCAGCAACACTTCGAAGTTATGGTGCTGAAAAAGTAACTTTATGACCAGTCCTCGCACTTATGACCATCGTAGCATCCCCACAGTCACGTGATTGCAATTTGAGTGCTTGGCAACCAGTACACACTTACGACTGTCACAGTGTCCCCACAGTCATGCGATTGCCATTTGTGACCTTCACAGCCAGTTTCCAACAAGCAAAGTCAATGGGGAAGCTGGCAGGTTGCAAGCTGCGATCACATGATGTCTTGCTGAATGACCCCAGGTGATTTGCTTAACAACTGGAGCCAGAACTGGTGTGAGGCGTGGTCATATGATTCACGCTTAGCAACCGTGTTGCTTAGTGATGGAGTTGCTGGCCCCAGTTGTGGTTGGTAAGCGAGGACTACCTGTATTCTCTTTTTAAGATTAACTCTCCCATTTTTGGTCCTTCCCATAGTTATAAAAAATATGTTCATTTCTGGCTGCTCCCCATTGCTGGAGAATTGTAAGAAGTGGCTAAGACGTGGAAGTGAGTGGCTGGGATCTCTTGCAATGTGACTCTTTTCTCCACCAATCCAGCAGCGTTGCTTGAGGGTTGCCAGGAGTTTCCCCCCATGAGAGTTTCTCTTGGTTGTATGCAGCTTCTTGGGCAGGATGGAGTAGTCCTCTTCCCCAAGACTGCTCCTGCTTGTGGCCAACAGTTGCTTCTTGCTTTTTGTACACTTATATTTTGCTTTACTGATTGTTCAAGGCAACTAACACACTTCAGAATAATTTGTGTCCTAAGAAGGAAAGCAATGATAATCAACTGTTGAGCCATTACAAGTTTGAAAAAATGATGTAAATTAGAGATCAGCTGTAAAACAACAAATCTGTGCTTCGTTTGGCTGTTTCTGAACATTTAACCTGGAAAATGGAAAGATGTCTCTCCTTAAGATAACTCATTCAAGACCCTTAAGCAGTGGCAATGTGAGGAAACTTTTCTGGCCCAGGTACTGGGGAACATATTTCTCTTGGGGTAGGATTTAGAGTAGGGCCTGCCCCAAGAGGGGAAGAGGAATGCCCAAATTCTAGAAAGTGATTCTGTGGCTACAAAGCTCTCTGTGGTTTGGGTTGTGGCTCCTGATCTTTTCTGTGTAATTTCAGAGCAACCAACGTGTTGACCTGTATAAGTGGAAGGACGGTAATGGGGAAATTGGCACTTCCTTGCAAGGACACACGCGTGTCATCAGGTATGGCCCCGGGGAGCCTGGTGCATTTTGTTACCCACTGGGCCGGTAATACCCACATAGTAGTGTAGTAGCTGTGAAGCCTCCTTTTCTACCAACTCTCCTGCTGCTCCTTTTTGTTTACAGCATGCCAGAGAGGAGACATATGAACATGTCAAAAGAGTAGGCTTAGTAGTCTTAGTAGGGCTTAGCCCTTAGTAGGGCTTAGCCCTTAGTAGGGCTTAGTAGGGCTTAGTAGTCCCTGAGCTACAACTCCGTGTTGCCTTCAGTGGATGCCTTGGGCAATTCTCTCAGCATCATTCCTGCATCTGCCAATACTAGGATTACACTGACTTCCCTTTCAACAATGGTGGGCAATTGTTTGGGGACAAGGGAAGCGTGTTGCATGCGTGGCCTCCTGTGCGTGGCATCATCACAAGCAGACAGGGAGATTTGTCAAGTGGGGAGATTTAGAGTTTTTTGCTTTTTACCTATGGTTTGCCTGTTTTGTGGTTTATGCTACATTTTTTTTTCATCTATCACCTCAAGAGTGACGGGCTAGCGGTTCTCACCCTATGCGTATGTCCCAGAGCAGATGTATACAGATGTGTGGAGTCTTCTTGCATCTTTACTAGAGCCCTAAAGTCTAGCAATCAAAGACAGGTGCAGTTGGGATGGCAGGGGGAAAAGGGGATTGGTTATCTACCTCATATTCTGTGCACCACCCTTCCTCCAATCTGACGTACTCTGTGCTGGCTAGAGATAATGGAGGATGAAGTCCGGCACCTCTGCAGGAAAGCAGATTATGGAATGCTGGTATGTACCAATGTAAAGTTACTCTAGTGCAGGGAGTCTAAAAACACACACCAACAGAAGTCTTAAAGTGGCCCGTAATACTGTAAAAAGGGCTGGTCAGAGGTAACTAAGGATGTGCAAACTATTTTATGCATGGAACCAGGCAGTACTGGGCAGTCTGTGGGTGGATCAGAGCACGTGTGTTCTGGTAGAGTTCTTCCAGGTTGCAAAATAGTGGGGAAAAGCAGGGCTTCCACCATACTGTGGTGGAATTCAGAGGTGGTGGAGAGCTTTACCTGCTTGCCCTCTAAGGCTTCTCTGGATTTGCTTTCGCCAAAACCCAGAACAACCTAAAAGATCTGAGTTTTGCTTCAGCCAGACTGTGGTCCAGCTAACCTTCCAAGACACAATGTGTTTACTTTGTCCATGGAGTAAAATATATTTTTCACTTTGAACATAACTAACCAACCAGAACATACTCCTATTTTAGGTTTGAGGACTACAGAGACTAAGAGATTAGCAGTTTGCACGAGGCCAGAGATAGCAGGGTGTTCTGACTCTCATTTTATAAACTTTAAATTTTGCATATTGGTTGTGAGTCAGAATCTTATCTGTCTGCTACACAACTCTCAGAGATCTACCAGTAGAGCTTGATCCACCTTCTGCTTACCTCTGCTCAAGGTCACTGGAATTGCAGAAGCTGAATTCCATAGGGCAAGCTGTTTTCCAGTGTTTTTTACTGGAAAAAAAATCCAGTAACCTCTGAAAAACCTTGCTGAGCTCTCTTGGAAATCTGCCTTGGAGAAATAGTGGCATCAGAATGACCTACTGTAGGAAGCATAGAATGCACAGTTTAGTTTTTTTTAATGTTATGGTCTCTTGTAAAGAATCCTTTGATGAAGCCCCATGGGAAAAGAGCAGCCTAGGAAGGAAGAAGGCAAGCAGGGCAGCTGGAGAAGGCTTGTATTTCCTTGCAAAGTATTGCTTTGGTTTTTCCTGATGATGGAGAAGGTAGTGGCTAGTGACTGCACAAAGCCTTGTCATTACAAGCTGCTACCATTGAAATTTTCTGTTCATCCATTTTGTTCTCATTTTTTCTTTGCCTTTTCTAGTGATTTGGACTGGGCGGTGTTTGAGTCAGATCTACTGGTTACCAGTTCAGTTGACACATACATCTACATCTGGGACATCAAGTAAGAATTTTGGTGGCCCATAAGAAGACAGTCATTGTCACTAAGTGTTTTGGGGAGAGTGGATGTTCCTGTAGGGTACCTGTGACTGCTGCTCTTTAAGTGGGGTATTTCAAAACAGTTGGGGTATTTCTAATATTTTTTTCTCCTGTTATAGCTTAGCAAGTGGGTTTTCCCCATGCTATGGTGCAAAGAGGAGTTGAGTTTCAACCCAGGTTGTGTGTGTGTAGGTGGGGTGGGGGAGACTTCTATGAAATATATACTTTACCTTATTGGCATGATGACCCTTAACCTGTTACACTGAAGGGAGACTTCTGGCATGTATTGAAATAATACGATCACTTGTGTAGTCTGAAATCAATTGTTTCCAAGCAGTTTGTCATAAGGCACACATTCATGTTTAGTACGCCCACCAAAAAAGCAAGTTGTCTGCTTTACCTCTGTGGTATACTGGCCTCCTTTTCTGCACTAAAGGCAGATGGTTTTGCCATGTCTCTGGTGCAGATCAACAGAAGGATGGCTCATCTCTAATGAGTGGTGCCTGCTGCATCTGTGCATGAATCACAGGTTTAGGTATGCCTCTTTTCAAGCAGGGTATGCCTAGATCAGTGACTCATGCAGAAATAGGAAGGGTGATCTCTGTAGGTGGATTTATTTTAATCACTCATATGCTATGAAAGTAACCCCCCTTGGATTTCAGAACAAAGTATGCATAGAATTCTAATTATTTGGTGGTAGGAATTTAGGAGAGTGTTGTCAAAGATAAGCTATATGTTCTTATGTCAGCACTGTTGTATTTCAGAGACACACGAAAGCCTACTGTCTCCCTCTCTGCCGTTGGTAAGTACCAGCTGGTGAATAGCCTGGTTGGAAATCTTCACATCTTGCCATTTAGGGGGCTTGTGCATAGATCATGGAAATGACCCTTACAGATGGTCATTTGGGTCTTGCCTCTTCTCCCAGGCACTGTTAAATCTTTGTCAAATCTTTTGTTCTGAAATATTTCCATTACTGCTCTTTCCTTCACCAAGTTGTCATTTTTTTCATTTACAACAGCAGGATAATAATAACATAATAACAAAGGTCTTTAGAATGTGCGAGCATTGAGAACAAGATTGCCCATGTGTGCAGGTGGTGTCTGAACACCAAAAGGGTGCTGGATATGCTGGTCATGAGTGGTATCTTGCTTCTTGTATAGATTATCTGGTAGGCCATGGCAGCACCTGGCTTACAGCACTTCTGCAATGTGTTCAACAAACAAGTAGTTCTAGCTATAGCATAAAGTCAGTTCCATACTCCTGGAGACCAAAGTTGCATCATGGCTCAGAGTAGGGTAGGCCAGTGAAAGGGCTGCTTGAGTAACAAGCACTGGGGTAGCACCATACCATGCTAGGACTTGGCAGCTTGGAGCAGTGACATGAGCTGATTCCGCTACAGTGCCTCACGCTGTGGCTCTGGGGACCATTCCTTTCTTGAAAACTACCTTGTTCTACAGGGTAACCACAGTTACCTCTTGTGCTAGACAGAACTCAACATCCCAATATGGTTTGAATGAGCTAGAGAGGTTAGCTCTATCATAGTGACCTTGTTGCCATGCTAGTGTTTTCTTTCTGGAAGGTGTTTGTTGACTCCTAGTGCTCTGCTCCTTCTGTAGCTGGAGCCTCCCAAGTAAAATGGAATAAGAAAAATGCCAACTGTTTGGCAACCAGCCATGATGGGGATGTGCGCATTTGGGACAAAAGGGTGAGTCCTTGTTTTTTTCCTTTCCCTGCTTCTCTCTAAGGAGTGGGGGACAGTGGACAGTGCAAGCTGGTTAGACCTATGGTTAGGCCTAGTTCACACATTATGTTAGACCTATGGTTTGTGGTATGTAGCAATGATAAATTATGGCTTAGCCAAACCATGGCGGCTGGGCTCGCCAATGCAGTCAGCCCAAACCAAACAAACAGCATCAGGATTTAGTGGAATGAATATGCTGCCCCCTTCATATACCCTGTGCAGGAGACAACTCATCCCTTAAGAGGAAAACTCTGTCGTCATACCATTGTTGTGAAAATTCTTTTGATTCTCACAGCACTGAAATAGTCCATTTTTTCCACATAACTGCCTGGATCTTGCTAGTGGAAGGATTGAATCCTGGGCCGTAACCTCCACATTGTACCTGTAAGAAATGCAAACATGGGCACTTCCTGCTTGTGCTTCCAGCTTGTCTTGTAATTCCACCACCACCACCACCGCCCGCATTCCAGGCTTCTTCCGTCTGTTTAGATGGGAGTTGTAGTGTCATGTGAATCCAGGTGGTGGCACTAATTAGCATTCAGTGGGATCATGTATCTCTTGCAAAGCAGAACCTCCCAGAAATAAGAGGATGCAGCTTCCTGACTCTTCAGCCAGAACTAACAAACATACCGCTAAGAAAAATAAATCAGTTCACAATTGGCTTCTTTCTTTGGAATAGCTTTCTGCTGGGTTTCTTACCAGTGGATTTCTGGTAAGTCAGAATTCTGGCATCTGTGTTGGTCCTTAGCTAAAGCTGATTGGCTACACAAGAGAAGCCATGAATTTCAGGCAATTTCCCTTAGAGAGGGCGCATTGAAGTTGTGTAGCTGAGTCCCAGATACATCTGATATATGCTACTCGTAGCTAACAGGAATGTGTGAAATGTTTTGACCTCAAAACAGCACTTTGGGTATTCTTAGTTTGAACAGATATGCAGTTTCTGGGAGTTTTGTTTCAGGATCAGAGCAGAACAGAGCCGTTTTGAGCAGTAATGTTCGGAGAGTTCCATTCATTGGAAACCACCCCAAAACAGGCTGTTCCAGCCTCAGAATAGAGCCCATACAGAACAGAGCCAATAAAAAGAGTTTTGTTTTAGCGTTGGAACAGAACACTCAACATGATTTGAGTTTCAAATGGGGCTGTTTTGCTCCCAACTCAAAAAGGAACATGTTTCTTTTTCCTGTCGACTCCTAATTCCTGCAGAAGATCCTTTTGTCCCAGTGCTCCTTTTCTTTTTCAGTTCCTGGATTCCAGACATGTCATATGTAAACTGCTTTCCAACTTGAATCCATTGTGATCATTTTCCAACTGTGGTCTGGGGAAGACCAGTGATAGGCAGGCTTCTTTCAAAGATTCTTGGCTTGTTTTCCATTGCTGCTCTTCTCCATGACTCAGATTCTCTCCTGAAAGGCCTTTGTATGCTTTGTAAGTCTTGCTTTCCATTTATATATGGCAGAGAAAACACAATTGGGCTGTGGCTCTGTGCCCCAGAATTTGCTGCAAAAGAGAAGCCGAAATGCTCCTTGAAGGCAGTATGTGACATCCCAGTTGGATTGTTGTGACCTCTTCTGGAAACTTTCAAGCAAAATCTTTCTCTCTGCTTGCAGAAACCAAGCACTGCTGTGGAGTATCTGGCAGCACATCTCTCTAAAATCCACGGCCTGGATTGGCACCCAGACAATGAAAACATTTTGGCCACATCCAGTCAGGACAACTCGGTCAGGGTAGGTTGGTAGACTGGATTGGACTGGGCTAGATTCTGGGGCTCGCAGTGATATCCTGGCAGAGTGGAAGCCATCCAGTGTGTTGAATGCTGGTCTTTACTGGACCATGTCAATGGATTCCAGCAGTGTCAGTCTCTGCTGGCCTTCCCTTTTTTTGAGGACCACCAGGAAATGAATAAAGAGTGTGCTGACACTATCTTCTGTTTCGTGACTTGAGTGATGGGGGGTATCCTGGTGAATAAGGGATCTGTTTTCTCTGGATTCCTGCCAGGATTTCTTATTTTGTGTCTCAGTAATATGCTGTAGGCTAAAGCGTCAGGCATTGCAGTCTAGAGATCTTTGCGTTTGTCTTAGCAGAACTTGGCTCTGCTTTTGTATACGTGTATTCATTTATCAGCATTTAGTTTAGGCTTTTTGTTCATCTTGGAAACTCAGAAAATCCCCAAAAGTCCACTAATGCAATTACAGTCAGGTCCAGAAATATTGGGACATCGACACAATTCTAACATCTTTGGCTCTATACACCACCACAATGGAATTGGAATGAAACAAACACAATGTGCGTTAACTGCAGATTGTCAGCTTTAATTTAAGGGTATGTACATCCAACTCAGGTGAACGGTGTAGGAATTACAACAGTTTTCAAAGTCAACAATCAAAAGAAGACTTCACCAGCAGTTGCAGTAGAGGCCTGGCAGAGCATCACCAGGGATGAAACCCAGCGTCTGGTGATGTCTATGCGTTCCAGACTTCAGGCTGTGATTGACTGCAGTTGCAGTAGAGGCCTGGCAGAGCATCACCAGGGATGAAACCCAGCGTCTGGTGATGTCTATGCGTTCCAGACTTCAGGCTGTGATTGACTGCAGTTGCAGTAGAGGCCTGGCAGAGCATCACCAGGGATGAAACCCAGCGTCTGGTGATGTCTATGCGTTCCAGACTTCAGGCTGTGATTGACTGCAGTTGCAGTAGAGGCCTGGCAGAGCATCACCAGGGATGAAACCCAGCGTCTGGTGATGTCTATGCGTTCCAGACTTCAGGCTGTGATTGACTGCAGTTGCAGTAGAGGCCTGGCAGAGCATCACCAGGGATGAAACCCAGCGTCTGGTGATGTCTATGCGTTCCAGACTTCAGGCTGTGATTGACTGAGCTGACAGTCTGCAGTTAACGCACATTGTGTTTGTTTCATTCCAAATCCATTGTGGTGGTGTATAGAGCCAAAGATGTTAGAATTGTGTCTATGTCCCAATATTTCTGGACCGGACTGTATAATATTCTTACAAATAAAAATGTCATTGTATGTCTGCTGCCCCTGTAAGTATTCTAAGTACAAATGCTGTATTTAAAAAAAAAAAAAACTTTGCAAGCTGACATGGATAGTTCTCCTGAAAATACTTATTTCTAAGCCATATTGTCATTGTCCTGAGAGGGGTATGACAGAATAAATCATCTACTCATTTTAGGAGTACTGGAGATATGCAGGAAATAATCTCTAAAGAAGAATATCTGCAGGTAGTATGGGTTATTACCACTGATTTGAGTTGTCCCTTGAAAGTTTTACATTCTGGCCAGAGGTGATGGGAGTTGTAGTCCAACACACCTGAACGGTGTCAGATTGGGGAAAGCTATTATGTGGTCTCTCTGGTTCATTCCTAGCCATCAACTGAATAACTAGCCTTCCTCAACTTGAGATCCTCCAGATGTTTGGGATTTCAGCTTGTAGAGTACTTCATGGTTGGCTAGAGATTATGAGAGTTGGTCTGATTTGTTCAGAAATCGACATGTTGGGAAAGGGTGATCTAAATGGGGCAAACTTGCATATAATGTGACGTTACCATATACATTGTCTTGGAGGAGAGCCTCTGGTACTCATTGTGTTGATTTGAAACACCCTATACCTTCTTAATGATTGGGTACAACAGCAGGCCTTAGAAGCAATCCTTCCTAGACTTCAGAAAATGGTCTTCTGTTCTCAAGAGGTTTCCTTCAGTTATGGGCAAGCATTAATGTTAATAGAAAAAAAAATTGCCATCCTGTTGGGCACCAATGCAGAAAGTCAGCTTTTTATTCCCTTACTGTGATTTAAAAGGAGATTGATTGCTTGGTGTTCCAAGGCAGGTAGTAGATGGTCTGTATCTACTAATGATAAATGGGAGGTTTTGCTCTGTGGAATATAGTGCTACTTTGGTACCTGATCCCCCAAATGGAAAACCTTTTACCAAAGATGAACCCCCAAACCTTCATCTCCACCCACAACGCCTGCTAAAATTCTCCATTCACAAATCTTTTAGGGTCTTACAGGTCTGTTAATATGGTGGTGGTTTTCTTGCTGATTGATCATCTTCCACCTGAGTGGCCTTTTCTCTCTTTTGTTGAAGTTCTGGGATTACCGACAGCCCCGAAAATACCTCAACATTCTGGCCTGTCAGGTTCCGGTTTGGAAAGCTAGATATACGGTAAGGAGAGTGCCTGCATTGGAAGCCAGGTGAGCTGAAAGGCCTGGCAGCGGCTCTCACTCACCCAAGGAGTGCTGATGGGACTGATGGCTGGTGGCCAGGACTGAGGAGGGCAGGCCATGTTTTCTGTGGCCAGGAGCTGCTTTTGCTCTGGGGGAGGTGGCAGTTACATGGTGACCTTATTAGAGGGGGTAGAGTTACTTTTTGGTGGTTTCTACTGAATTTTGATGGTGTGATCTGGGGAGTGCTCTGGGAGCTGCAAAAAATGGCTTATGACCACAGATGGCCTCTGAGTCACCATTGCCTACCCCTTGCCTGGGGGAGGGATGGTAGCTCACAGTAGAGCACACACATACATACAGATCCTTCTCATACCCAACATTTGAGGTTGATTCTCCCAGCAAGATTGGGAAAGACACAGTTTGGCCCGAAACCTATTGTCAGTTGATGTAACTCCAATACCTGTGTTTAACTGCAATTCCTATCGTGCTTGGTTGTCCTGGAGAAGAAAGTTGCAGTCCATGCCTAGGGGATACCATGTTGAAGCCTTGCGTAGATAGTGCCAAGCTAGACAAACCCAAACATCTGATTGGCAGAGTGGTCGCTTCCCCTGTTTCTTGGCTAGGATAAGCTGGTAATGCTGGGCAGAGGAGACCGTAAATACAGCTGTGTTGTCTTTTGGGACTGTGTCTCTTCTTCGTGTTGAAAAGTGAAATGGGGGTGAGCCACTAACTTTCCTTCTTTCCCTTTTCTAGCCTTTTAGCAATGGGCTGGTGACAGTGATGGTGCCCCAACTCCGAAGAGAGAACAGTCTCCTTCTTTGGGACGTCTTTGATCTCAACACACCAGTTCACACCTTTGTAGGACATGATGACGTCGTGCTAGAATTCCAGTGGCGGAAACAGAAGGAAGGTGTGTGATTGGGGATGGCGGGCTATCTTTTTTCCTTTTTACCTGAACAGAGAACTAACTCAGTTAAACAGATGCCACATGCCCCCTGAGATAGCGGGCAGATCTGTTGCATCTGAAATAATCTGAATGAGGAATTGAAATGTATATCAGTCTCTTGTATGTTCATGTCATTTGTACCAAGTGATACCATTTGCTGAGTGATGTCATTGTGCATTTCCCTTAGGATAACCCCTTTTAGATGCATTGGAGCATTTTTCTGACTAAACATGCACAGAATTGGGCTTTTAGCTAAATTATCCATAGCTCTCTTGGTACAGTTTGGAAATTCCAACTCTACAGAAAGCCTGAGACCGTATTCTAAAGGCATAATGTGTCTGTAATCTTCACAAAACATTCCCAGAAACTAGCTAATAGACCCTACATAATAAAATAATTCTGCGTGCCAAGATTATAGGCAGTTTCTTTTTCGCACATTCCTATATCACCAGCTGATAAAGACGCTCCTAGTCTGTTCTGAGGGTTTCTCTGTCTGAAATTCTGAGCTGAGAATCTGTAAGCAGCAGCTGCTCAGGTTCTTAAGCCTAGTAGCGCCCGTTTGCCAGGCATATGTGACACATAGAGATGCTGAGAAAAGCTGTAGGGTTTTTGCTTTTAACATGTGCAAGGCAGGCTGATCTTGTGAGAATCTCTTGAGTGCTCAACTGCTAAATAAATTATTGATTTTCATTGGTTAGTTTACCCACAGACTTTTATGGGTAGTCTGCAGTTGAACCTTTTACTATAAATCTTTATTATGGTCATTGGCCAGAGATCCATTATAATAAAACCTAAAAACATTTAACCAGTCTTCATTCTTAAATAAAATTACCAGTGGCTACAGGTAGGCATTCTGTCCCATGGTGAATCCCTCTTGCAATATAGCAAGATTCTCCCATGGGATACTGTAGTTAACTTTAGGATTTTTGTCACCAGTAAAAAAAACTTGAATACAGTTCCTTAAAGCCACCAGGAAGCTCTTTAATTACCATCAAATCCTAGAATTGTGGAGGAAAACCAATTTAACCAACCTTAAGAGGTGGCTGTCCAGCCTCTTCTTAAAAACCTCCAGAGATGGAGAAGCTACAACCTTTGTAGGGACACTGTTCCCCTGTTGGATAGAAGTGATTGTCAGGAAGTTTTTCCTTATATTTAAATGAAATCTAGATAGCAGCAAAGAGCCAATTTGGTGTAGTGGTTAAGGCAGTGTTTTTCAGCCTTGGCACCTTTAAGCCGTGTGGACTTCAACTCCCAGAATTCCCCAGCCAGCTTAAAGCTGCCAAGGTTGAGAAACATTGGGTTAAGGCATCAGGCTAGAAACCCAGAGACTGTTCTACTCCTGCCTTAGGCACGAAGCCAGCCGGGTGACCTTGGGCCAGTCACTCTCAGCCCTGGGAAGAAGGCAAGGGCCAACCACTTCTGAAATCCTGCCAAGAAAATTGTAGGGACTAGTCCAGGCAGTCGCCAGGAGTCAGAAACTTGACTTGAAGGCACCAAAAAAAAAAAAAAAGTAGCAACGTAAACTTGTTATTTCTAGCCCTAGTTTGTGTGGCCTCTGAAAATAATTCTTGACCCTCTTCCTTGTAGTTTCCTTTTATATACCTGAGCATGGCTATCGTGTCTCCCTTCAATCTCCTTTTTTCCAGATTGAACATCCCCAGGTCCTTCAGCCTGACTTCATAGTCTCCTTATGGTCTTCCAAGCTTCTCCTAATGAAGTCAGAGTAGAAAACGTAACCCCAAAGACTAGGCTCCTTAAATTCAGTCCTGCCTGATTCACATGGTACCTGTGGTGGCCCAAAGAAGTAATGAGTCCCAGATTGACACTGTGAAGCCAAATGCATCATTACGATTGAAAATGAATATATACGGTTTTCCCCTTCTCGGGTCTAGTTCTGCTTTGGGAGCTTGTACTGGGATACCCTTCCATGAGGCAAAAATGCAAATGGGAATAAAATGCAACCTCCACTAGTTAGAATGGTTAGACTGGAATTTGGGCAACCTGGATTTATCCCCACTCAACCCAAGAGCACATCAGGGTCACCTTTGGGCTGATAATTTTTTCTCAGTCCAACCTGCCTCAGAGGGGTGTTGTGGCAAATTGAGAGGCCCTTCCTAAGGGCTTCCTTGAGCTCCTAGAATAAAGGTGGGAGGTCTGTGCAACGCGAAATACATGAATATGTTGTCCAGTCTTTCCTGGTTCATTTTTATAGATTCTGACTTGCATTAGTCCAGGGACTGGACTAGTCCCTACAATTTTCTTGGCAAGATTTCAGAAGTGGTTGGCCCTTGCCTTCTTCCCAGGGCTGAGAGTGACTGGCTTAACCAGGCTTAAGTAGGGTATAAATCTGACTGGCATTTCCTCTCCTCCTAAGGGTCAAAGGACTATCAGCTGGTCACCTGGTCTCGAGATCAGACCCTTCGGATGTGGCGAGTCGATTGTCAACTACAGCGGGTAGGTCCTAGGCATCGAGAATTCTTTCCTGGGCCCTGCTTGAAAATGTAAGGTCCCACAATTTGCCCTGTCCATTCAGCCCCCTGGGCTCCTCTTCCACTGTGAGTCCGGCGTGCTACCTTCTTTGGGGTTTCTTATGCATTTCTATAAATGTGTTTTCCTGCAATTGATTTATGGCGGATTCAGTGTCACAAATCAAGTAACTGGGGAAGGTAATCTGGATCAACTCTTTGTAGTGGAAAACCCAATAATTCTAGAAGAGCATGGAAGAGATGTATCCATGGAAGACTGTTGCATAGAGTTCTTGGGCAACGTCCTTATCACCCTCTGTAATGTGTATTGACTTTGTGGGCCTGGTCACAGAGAAGAGGAGAAGTGATGGCGAGAGTTAGCATGGAGTTTTTGAGAACGTTGGGGAAGTGTGCCTTGTGCCAGAAAGACTGGTGAGTAAGGAAGGAGAAGGCCAACAAATAGAACCTTGAATACCTCCGGACAAGTATTGTGATGCTGCAGAGCCATTAATCAGCTGACAAAGAGGTGGATGCAGTTTCACATCAGTAGAGCAGTATATATAGGCAGCCGTGGAGATGACCTTGGGGGAAATATTCAGAAAATATTCACGGAAACGAAAAGGGCTGAAGCATGCCTTGAGGCCTGGGAAAGGAGGTAGTATTAGGAAGAGGCTCAGGCTGGCTCCTCCCTGACTCAGTGGGGTATATGAGGGAGGGGAAGAAAAGCACAATCAGACTTGCAAGATCCTGTTAATACAGCCTGTCTTAAAACATAGTTGTAGTCTTGTAGAGTCTGTTTCCTGGTCTGGATCAACTCAAAGGGCTGACAGTATAGTACTAGGATCCGCAGGATCTGTCTTTTCTTCCTGGCTCCTTAGCTGGGTCGTGCCGTTTGCCCCTCCCTCCCTCCTTCTCTCCCTCTCTCACACACACACACACACACAGTTTTCCTAACTTTGACTTGGCTTGGCTGCACTACATTTACTGCCTCTTGTTCCAGTTATGCTCCAGTGACCTCTTGGAGGGGGTGGAGGAGCTGATCGATGGGATTTCCCTCCTGCCAGAGGCAGAGAAGGCCCTGCCAGTCCAAGATACTGAGCCCCAGCAGAACTTCACCCATGGAGAGGAGGAAGGTGAGTCTTAGCATGCTGGGGGGCTGGCAAAACGATTAATTCATTTTGGGTTGGGGATGGGAAACCCTTGGACCCCACATGCATCGCACATTAGAAAACAGGTGGAACTTTGATTGCACCATCTCTGCCTAAGACTAAAACGTGAAGACACATTCGAGTTATGTTTGACTCTGGGATATGCCCATGTGATTTTCCTGGCAGTAGCATCATGAAAGTGGCTTCTTGTTGCTTTCCTTCAGGGTTGTTGTTGTTTTTAACTTCCTGGGTTAGCCTACTAACTTCCCTGATAGTCCCCTAGCAAAGTTATTAACCCCTGCTTAGCTTCTGAGCCCAAGTGAGGTCAGCCTGGCGCTACTCCCTGCTGAGCCTAATATGATTCCTTCACAATCTGGGAAGAAGCCAGTTCCATCCATCTGGTATGTTTCCTTCCCCTCTGCTGTGTTTTGCAGATCCTGGGCACACCCCTGAACAGTCAGTCCCACATCCCATTTCACTTTCGCTCCTTTCTCCCCCCCAACTTTTATGCCACCTTCTGTGCCCAGAGCGCTCCTGCCCTGTCCAAGGATTCTCATCTCTCCCTTACAGTTTTAAAAGAAGATTCACAGAAAGGCTTCCTGGTGGGAAAGAAGCTAGACCAGCTGGGGCTGCCTCAAACCTTACAGCAGGAGTTCTCTCTGATCAACGTTCAAATCCGCAATGTAAATATGGAGGTGAGAAAACACCTTTTGTCTGGTCACCAGATAGAACGCAAGAGTTTGGAATTGCCTGCTAATTTCTGGGGATCACTTGCCTTCTATCCCATCTTTCCTGTTTTTCTTTCACCGTGGCTGTCCTCAGGCCACCCTTGGTATGGATGTGCAAACATATTCCATGCACTGATCAGGCAGTATTGGGTGCCTGTGCATAGATTGAAGCCTATGTGCTTTCACTGTGCATGGATCTGGAGGGCACTTTTTAGTTCTTGTACTAATTTGGAGTACATATGCTCTGGCAGAGATCTTCTGTGGTGGGAAATGGGAGGAAAGCAAGGCTTGGCAGCACCTGGTGGATCTTTGGGTGGGTACATGGCAGCAGGACCCCCGAATTGCCCTACTTGCCCCCTAAGACTTCTCTGGATTTTCCTTGGCCAAAATCTGGATTCAACCTAAACAATCTGGGTTCCGTTTCAGTTAGGCCAGGGCCTGTCCAAAATAGTTCATCTGAATAGAGGAAGACAGCCTTTTTGCTTTGGGCAGACCCCAGTCTGTATGATTGGAGATGCAAGGGGAGAAGTTGTTGTGGCCATCAGCCTGGACTTTTGGTCTTAGCCACATCTGTTTGTAGCACTTCTCCTTTTGGAGCCATGGTAGGGAATGTGTTTCTTTTATGGTTGCTAAAAATGGTTCCCCCAAACAGCCCAACGCACCATGCAAAAAGGTGTTTTTCTTTCTCAAAGGCATAAATGCGTGTTTGACTTCATCTTTCCAGAAAACACCTAATCTCCTTAACTTTTGTTGAACTGCTGTATGGGATCAGTTTGCAGCTTTGGTCTCCTCTTCAGCCACTGATCCTTGAAGGAAATGCCAGCAGAAGGCAGTGTAGAACCAGATGACACTCGCATAACATTTCTCGCATGCTTGGCTCTGGCAGATGGATGCTGTCAATCGGAGCTGCACGGTCTCGGTGCACTGCAGCAACCATAGGGTGAAGATGTTGGTGATGTTCCCTGCACAGTATCCTAACAATGCTGCCCCCTCTTTCCAGTTTGTCAACCAGACCACCATTCCTTCCACCATGAAGGCCAAGCTGTTGAAGGTATGTCTGTGCCTAAATCGCTTTCCTGAGAGAGGAGTGTTAGCAGGAGACTGGGGCCTTCTGCCAGGGGTGAGGGTCTCATTCTTAACAGGAAAAGAAAGAAGAGATCTGAGTTGTCTGCCTTGTGGAATCTGTGCTTTGGGAGTGACTTGCCAGTTTCAGAGCTTTGAATTGCAGCGTAGGTTTGGTAATGACTCAATCCACATCTGGGATTTCTTGCAGATCTTGAAGGATACCTCCATGCAGAAAGTGAAACGCAATCAGTGCTGCCTAGAGCCATGTCTACGCCAGCTGGTCTCCTGCCTGGAGTCTGTTGTGGTAGGAAATATGTGCCCATTTTGCCCCAGATATTAATATGATTGCCATCACTAGAGAATTTAGCTCTGGCCCTAGACAAGTGGAAAGCATTAAGGACCTTGTGGTTCTTAAAAGGGCAGGGAAGGTTCTGGACAGGCTTTCAAGGTTCTATTAATAGACCTTACAGCAGTGTTGTCTAAACTTGGCCACTTTAAGATGAGTGAACTTCAACTCCCAGAATTCCCCAGCCAGCATGGGAGTTGAAGTCCACTCATCTTAAAGTGGCCAAGTGCCTTACAGCAATCAAGTTGCCTTCCTGGAATCCCTGTGATTTTTTGACCCGTCCTACCTTAAAGGGCTGACATCTCTATATAATCACCTGGAGAACTTCGGATTTACTGATTGACTGTGATCTGGCTTTTTCCTAGTAGAAGAAACATTAACTTTGTTTCTGCTTCTTAAGTGCAAAGGGAAGTCAGGCAATTTCTTTCCTGACAGAGTTGCATTTTTCTTTTCTTAGCTCCTGAAGGCTGCAGGGGGATGTGCTTAAGCTTGTGATGGGCTATATCTTTGGTGGGAGCGGGAAACATTTCTGGGTGCCCAAAATAAATGTGTTAAGCCTCACAGAGGCTTGACACTCTTATTTTAAACTTTAAATGGCCTTTGGAGGTGGGGGGGAAGTGCCACTCACACTCACCATTTGACATCAATGTTGGCAATGCAGTTCTGTAGCTTGGAGGTGCAAAGATGGAGCTAGGGAGTCATATATAACCCACAAGCTGCCCATTTCTGGTTTAAAGCCTTGCTTGATGCCCAGGGAGGCCTTTGTGAGAAATGGTTGCTGTTAACTAGGGAAAAAATACCCTGAGTGTCTGAATTCCATGTCTTTCAGAACCAAGAGGATAGCTCCTCCAGTGACCCCTACGCACTCCCAAATTCCGTAACGCCACCTTTGCCAACCTTTCCGAGGGTCTCGAATGCCTACGGCTCCTATCAGGATTCCAATATCCCATTTCCACGTACCTCTGGAGCGAGGTTCTGTGGGGCAGGTGGGTTGAATTTTAACTCTAGGAAGCTGGAGAAGAGGAGAACAGTGGCTGGAAATCCTGTCTCATCTGTGCCATCAAAAAGAGGGAGGCGTTTGTCACTTGTTTGTTACACCTTCTGTGCAGCAAGCTATTGCGGTAATACTACAACTTTAGGAAGTCAGAAACCTGCCTTTTTGCACAAGGTAAAGACGTTCTGCATCAACCTGAACTCCTGATTATTGCATCTTGTATAGGTAGTCCTCGAGTTACGATGGCAATTGTGACTGTGATTGTCATCACTAAGTGATGCGGTCGTAGAGCATGAAGTCATGCGGCTGTATCGCTTAGCAACAGCAATCCAGGCAGTCCCGGTTGTTGTGGTAACCCAAAACAATCTATTTATTTATTTATCATATTTATATAGCCTCCCATCTCACACAAGGTACAACAATTAAAAAATAAATACATAAAACAATTACATATAAAAAACTGTAAAAACACACAAAACAGGAGGGGATAAAATTAATAAGGGAGCCATCGTAAAATCTCCCCGGTCCCCTGATCACATAACCAGGTCTTGAGGGACTTATGGAATGTTAAGAGGGATGGAGCTAATTGCACTTCTGGGGGGAGAAGATTCCACAGGGCGGGCACCACAGCAGAGAAGGCCCACCTCCTGGGAACCGCCAAATGTAATTCTCCAGCAGATGGGATCTGCAGCATGCCTTCTCTGCCAGATCTGATGGAACGGGCAGATGTAATCTGGAAGAGGCAGTCCCTCAGGTAACCCGGCCCCATGCCATGAAGGGCTTTAAAGGTCAAAACCAGCACCTTGAATTGAACCCAGAAGCAAACTGGCAACCAGTGCAGCTCGCAAAGCAGAGGTGTAATGTGTACCACTCTAGGGGCACACATAACTGCCCACGCTGCTGCATTTTGCACCAGCTGAAGCTTCCGGATACTCTTCAAGGGCAGCCCCATGTAGAGTGCATTACAGAAGTCCAAATGGGAGGTGAA